CCTCCGCACCTCAGCGTGAAGCAGAACCTCCATGCCAGGGTGTCGGGTGAGTAGCAGGGCAGAGGCGGCAGCAAGGCGCCAGAGGGCATCTCCCAGTCAGCGTTGCCAAATTCCCTCATCCTCCAACAAACTATTGGGGGTCGAGGGAAGGAGCAAGTTTAATTCTTGCAGTTTCAGTGTTTGAAGCAGTAGGGAGTGGGTAGTGTTTATTAAAACAGAAAAGAAGACATGCAAACATATGAGGCTGTGTGGACCAACCTGGAAAAACGCTGTGGCCATCTCTGATTGTGTGCGTGCGATGGCTGGCACTTGCTGCTGGGTCAGGACTTGCAACAAAGCCTTTCTGTGGCAAAAAGGCTCCTCAAATCCCAGCTGGTCTCGCATAATTTCTCTTGTTAGCCAGAAGATCTAAAGGAAAAAAAAAAAATTTAGGGGAAGAGGTGTAGTTTGTGGCTTTTCTTGCAAGTCACCTTCCTTGCTGTGTCAGTTGGCTCATGGTCTTTATTGGCTCCAGCCATGTCCCAGAAGAGGAAAAGTCTAAATTTTCAGTTGTCTTGTAACCATTTAATCTGAAATTGTCAAATTTCATGCTTACCTGTTTGTTATAGAATTACTTGTTATAAAATTGGAATGAACTGTTGGAAGACATGATCGTTAATAGAGGATTTTGTCCCTTTTTTCACTACAAGTTGATCGGCCATTATTCCTTATTACCAGGGAATTTTTAGGAGCTTTGAGATGTGGTAAGTGAGGAGTGCAGGTTCTGGGATTAAAATGCCTGTTTTGCCTGTTGTGGAATTTTGCCTGTTGTGGAGAACTGGTTCAGCATTGGCACAGTCCCTTCTGGCCAGTGCTGATTTGGAGCTATCTAGTCTGCAAAGCCAAGAGCTGATGACCTGTGTTTCCCTCCTCTGCCCTGTGTTGGAGTGGTTTATGATCATTCAGTATTTTCGCAGCTTGAGCTTGGATTTGAACAGCTTGAACACAGTTGTTAAATAGACCTGTATTTTGTCCTAGGAAGATTCATTAAAAATATTGTCATTAAAACACATACATCAGAAATACAGTTAGCCTGTGGCTCTCACAGTGCTGTTTTCTCAAGATTTTTAAGGGAGGCAGGAAAACGCTTGCTACCTATTTAAGTATTATGGAGCTTGTGTACAACTGCTGAATATGTGGTCTAAAAGAATAGCCTCTGTGTTGTACTAAAATTTGAAGCATCAGGCATTTCCCTGTACCTGTAAAAGTTGGAGTGAGTTAAAACTTTCCCCCCAGTGTTCTAGAATGCATTTGCATTATTCAGGGCTTCAGTATGAAACCACTTATTTTTACTCCAAGTGTGATTGTTTTATAAGCTAGCAGGAAGTATTAGAAGGAATAAAGCAAGAGGCAAATGATCGCTGCATGAGTAGTGGTGTCTTTAGGACATTCC